CAGTCATTAGAAAGACTAACGAGCGACCATTGTGGATTGGAGAGACTATATGGGCTGAGTTGAACACTACTTGGGGCAGCGTAGAGTATAGTAGGAGGGATCAAAATCGATAGAACAGAGCTTCTAATGTTGGGGGCTTGGGTAGTTCCCTTCATACTGGCGGCTCCATTTCACATACTGAGCACACGCGATATTTGGTATTGAATTTTAAAAGTTTTTTAAAATTTTTCTTTAATAGAAATATTAGTAGAATTCTCTTACAGAAAGAGATGATGGGTAGAGAACCAACTCATGTGGAATTGTATAGTCACACTCATAAGCGACAGGAGGATTAACAATGGATTGATAAGCGAGCAAGAAAAGCATATATAAGTATATGTGTTTAATAATTTCTATTTTTAGTCTCAATTATATAAATATATATATTATACTTTCACAGGAGGAGTATACACGGCTTCGAGAGAGTCAGCCCGTAGCAAGTGAGGTTCTTCTGGCGGCTCTGTGGAGTATTCTGAGTACCGCATCTGGTCGCAAGCCGTTGGAGGAATGCAACATGACAGGATTTATGGTTTAGGTTCGCAAGCTCAGGCATACGAGGGGATGACCTCTACTGGATCCAGCTTCGCAGCCAGTTCACATGAGTCCTTACATAGTCAACAAATCAGTGCCCTTCAAGCGGAGCAAGAACAAGTAAGGAAATCGCAAGCTGATTGGCAAGTTCAGTTTCAAGCACAGATACAAAATGCAGATGCATGAGCAACACAATCAATTGTTGGATGAAATGCGCAAAATGAGTTAGCAGTTGAGTGGAAAAGAGGTAGCTCCAGCTAAGTCCACGGATTCAGAGTAGTTTATTTTTTTCAATGTCATATGAACCTATTTAATTTTTAAAATCTGTGTTATTGAGAGATCTGTGATATTTTTAATATTAGTTGGTTGATGGTATTGAATAATCTGTGTTAATGGACATTTATGTCTTTAAGTATTTGTTGAAGTTCTTAAGATCTGTGATGTGTAGATCTATGTTGTGGAACTATTATTATATGTATTTGTGTATGTTTGTAGGTGTCGAAATCTGATTGTTGAATGGGAATGCAATTTTTTTGTCATTGTGAAAGGTTTCCGGTGAATTTGGCATCGATAATTCACCGGAAATGACGATACAATGAATTTTTGTATCATTTCCGACCTTTTTTATCCGCCGACATTACCGGCGAATAACGCGCCGATAACAAGCTGTAGCTTTAGTTACGGCGTACATTACGTCGTTTTATCCGCCAGCTTTTCCGGCGGATACAAATGTCGTAAATTCCAACGCATATAAAGCCGGAATAATCCAGTAATAACCGCCATTTGGTTAACATAATTTTCACTGGTAATGTGTAGGAAAGTGCACCGGAACGAGTTCCGGCATCTAATATAAGTCAGAAGACTTTTTCTGACGCGCGCCAAAAGCCAAACCGGCGTATGAAATTTTGACGGAAATGCGTCAGAAACAGAGGATTTCTATCGTATTTTATGTATTACCAGCGGATTTTGTCCGCCGGTAATACCGGGTTTTCCTATAGTGAATGAAGGTGGTAAGATTATATTAGATTTTTCTTTAGCTTATGATTTCCTAATAGCTAATACCTTATTTAAGAAAAGATATGAGCATCTTATCACTTATAAAAATGGATATAATAAAACGAAGATTGATTATTTTCTTATAAGAAAATTAAATCATTTAGATTGCATAGATTGTAAAGTTATTCCGAGTGAAAATTTATGTTCCCAACATCGATTATTAGTTTTGGACTCTAAGATAAAGAGTCAAATAATAAAAAATAAAGTAAAACGATTTTCTAGGATTAGATGGGGACATTTAAAGAATATTAACAAAAGTATTTTTTAGAGTAAGATTTTAGATCTTAAGATTCTGTCTGTGCATGAGGATATCAATATTATGTGGGAAAAAGTGACTTGTGATATTAAGAATATTACAAAATATGTGTTTGAAGTCTCGAAAGAAAAAGCTCTTAATAATAAAAATAGTTGGTGGTGGAATCTAAATGTGTAAGAAAAATTAAAAAAATAAGAAGATTTGTTATAAAAATTAGTTTAGATGTAAAAATTTTGATAATTGGGAAAGCTATAAAGAGGCTAGTAAAAAATCTAAGAAAGTTATTTGAGACATAAAGAGCTTAGCTTTTAATGATTTATATAAAAGATTAGACACTAAGAAAGTTCAAGTGAAGTGTATTAAGGATGAAAATCAAAAAGTACTTTTCTTAGAAGATAATATTCAACAAAGGTGGATGAGATATTTTGCTAAACTTTTTAATGAAGAATGTAAAAATATGATTGACTTTAAGGACTTTATCACCTTAAATGAAAATAAAGACTTTTGTTTTTATCAACGTATAAGTAAAATCGAAGTTAGAGAGGCTTTATAGAAAATGAAGTGTGGAAAAGTTATTGGACCTGATGATATTCCAATAGAGATGTGGAAATGCTTAGGAGATGAAGGAATTTCTTGGCTTACTAAACTTTTTAATACTATTTTGAAGACTAAAAAATGTCAGATCAGTGGAGAATGAGTGTGTTAATTTTTTTTATGAATAAACGTAATGCACATGAGTGTGTGAATTATTGAGAAATTAAGTTAATGTGTCATAATTAAAACTATGGGAGCAAGTTTTGGCGCATAGGTTGTGACGTGATACTAATGTTGCCGGGTAGGTCTACTATGGAAGCCATACATTTATTGAGAGGTTTGATGGAGAAATATATAGAGAATAAGGATGATCTTCATATGATATTTATTGATTTAGAGAAAGCATATGATAAAGTTTCAAGAGAAGTGTTCTAGAGAGTTCTTGAAAAGAAAGGAGTTAATAATGCTTATATTCAATTCATTAAAGATATGTATGCTGGAGCTATTTACTTGTGTTCAAACACAAGGTGGTTTGACCAAGTATTTTCCTATTTCGGTTGGATTACATCAAGGATCAGCCTTAAGTCCATATCTTTTTGCTCTAGTCATGGATGTTCTCACTAGACATTTGCAAGAGGATGTACCTTGGTGTATGCTTTTTGCTGATGATATTCTTCTTGTTGATAAGACTAGAGAGGGAGTTGAAGGTAAACTTGAATTATGGAGGTCAACTTTGGAGTCTAAAGGTTTTCTCTTGAGTAGATCTAAAACTGAATATATGGAGTGTAATTTTAGTAGCAATAGACCTAGTGAGGGGATTGTGACTTTGGGCGATCAAGTCAATAATATAGAGTACACGTTTTAGATATCTTGGATCTATTGTTAAGAGTGATGGTGAAATTAATGGGGATATTATCAGCAGAATTCAAGTTGGATGGTTGAAGTGGAGGAATGCATCGGGCTTATTGTGCGATAGAAAGTCCTCCTCAAACTTAAGGGAAAATTCTATAAGATGGCGGTGAGACCTACAATGCTTTATGGTGCTGAATGTTGGACATTAAAAGAGAAGCATAATACTAAGTTAAGTGTTGCAGAGATGAGGATGCTTAGGTGGATGAGTGATTTGACCCTTAGAGATTGGATACGAAATGAGCATATACGTGAAAAGGTTGGAGTAGCTCCAGTGGAAGATAAGATTAGAGAGTTGTCTTAGATTGTTTGGTCACATTAAATGGAGGTCATCCGATGACTCGGTTATGAAAGTTGAGGTATTAGATTTGACTTATGTTAAGAAAGGTAGAGGTAGACCTAAAAAGACTTAGTTATAAAATATTAGAAATGATCTTTCTTTATTAGATTTAAATGAGAATTTGACTTTTAACCAAACACAATGGCGAAAAAGGATTCATATAGCCGACCCCACGTAGTGAGACAAAGGCTTGATATTGTTGTTGTTGTTGTTGTAAATATTTTTGTAAAACAAAGCTATTTTAAAAATCAATAAGAAACTATCTCAAATAAAGCTTGAGGTAGGTTTGAGGAATTCATCAAGTTTTATCATATTGTAAGGCTTAAGCTAGTAAATATGTATCAAATTTATTAACTTTTGTCATATCTATAAATTTTAGACAATTGAAAGAGTTTGTCTTAAAAGTTTTTTGGTGGTTAACATTTCATAATCAAATTTTTCTGATATTATTATTTCTTTGATATTGCTATCATTGCATACATGATTTGTTTGTCCTACTTACTAATCTTTCAGGCCCACAAGTTCACTGCAACACAAAATAGCTCAATTTTGTGTAATTAACATAGCATTTCATTATCAAAGAAATTTGAAATATAAATATAAAACAACTCGAGAGATAATTTAGCGCCTCTAAAATAGGAGGTAAGGTTTTTCATTTTTTGACCATATAACCTAACATATCATGTGTACTGTGGGGCGTCACTTCTAAAAATTATTTAGAAGTTGTTATTTTTAGAGGCGCTAAATTATCTCTCGAGTTGTTTTAGATTTATATTTCAATTTTCTCTGATAATGAAATGCTATGTTATATCCATTTCAAAGCCTTTTACACAAGTTCACTGCCACAGTACCACAATGGAGAAAAAATGTCTATAGAACAAAGAAGAAAGAAGCAACAAGTACACATGATTAAGACTTCATTTGAGATAGTTTTGTTATTACTTTCTAAAGCAGCTTTTTAATATAAAAAATTTTTGATACTAAAAAATTGTTTTAAAAAGCAATAAGAAAGCTGTCATGCTCTAAAGTTTGAAACCAACCTTGCTATATGACAACCTAAAACAAACCAAGTCACTGAAAATATTATAGAAGCAAGCATAATATAAATCTATATGGCTATTAACGCCTCGTTTGGGATGGCTTTCTTAGTGCTTAATAAAGCAATTTTCAAGTACAAAAACTTTTTGAACTATAATTTTTTGTACTAGAAAATTACTTTTGAAAGCATTACAAAAACTGCCCCAAACGAAACTTAAATCTACTTCAAAAAGATGCAAGAATGCAATTCTGTTTTGGCAAGAAAATTTTCTTGAACTTCATTCTAAGCATCTTGCGTTTAACAAACAACAATGTATAGGGAGTATGGCAACAGAGAATCAAAAGAATGCATTAAGTTGGAAGCACATCAAACAAAACCTCATCATTGGCGATCAACCTAAACAGCAAGAAAATGACAAGGAAAATCATGGAAATGCTACAAATTTGACCAAGTGGAGCTTTAATTACAATGATCTTCCTCAGATTCTTCAGAGTTTGCTTATTTTCACCTTCTTTAAGGCCTCTCCTGATGCAAGCTTGCATAGAATTTGATGCCAAGGCACTGCTATCATATGATGGTAATTCAAGACCTCTCAGAAGCCCATCTTGAATCTGATGTTCCTTGCTCATCTTTAGGTAGTCAGAATTTTCCCTCCGATGTAACAGGTTACTATAATCAATCTGATTTGGTAGTATATAATCCTCATCTCTGGAAGATTGGCATCGAAGCGTGTAAAAATCTGGCCTATCAAGGTTTTTAACAGTAGAGTTGCTACAGCTGTGACGGGAGGGAATTAATCTTCTAGAGGTTGAGGTCATCCTCACATCACCAATAGAAAAAGATCTCTGAAAATTAAAAAAAAAAACAAAAATAAGAAAACATTTAAAAACTAGCATTATTGATATCATGGTTGAATTAAAACGATAATAATATTATTATCATCTATATTTTTCAGCAGAAACATTATAATGATTGAAACAATAACCACTACTTATGAGAAAATTTGAAAATACTTTAAATGGATGTTTGAGGGAAAATTTGAAGGGATTTTTACATACATAACACTGAAAACTATTGAAAATATATATTTAACATCTAAACTTATATATTTACTGATATACCATCTAAAATCCCTCTTTTAATTAATTCTAAATTTCCGTTTAAACCTTCCATCAAAAATCACTATCAATAATTGTCTTCCCCATCAATGGCATCCTTTCACAGTGAATGCAAGTATCCCTTCGCTTCAATGGAGTGGTAGAATAGAAGGAAAATGGGATTTAAGGTGGTATATTAGTAAATATAAAAGTTTAGGTGTTACATATGTATTTTGAATAGTTTTAGATGTTATGCATGTAAAAATCCCAAAATTTAAATGATAGAGTACTTGCAGTAGTGTAGTAGATTTTGTTGAGTTTACAATGTGGTAGAAGCAGAAAATGTGGATGCATTGTTGTAAGATATCCATCATTGTCCAAGAATAAAAATCAAAGCTGAGATGCTTGACACAAACTACCTTTGTATTAGTGCAAGAAGATTCAGCTAACAGATTTGTGGAATTGAGATTCGAAGATTGGATTGATGTTTTGTAACCTGGACTTTCTTCATTTAGCTCACAGTTCCTACAATGCTCAAAATAAACCATTGAAGTGTTTCCATACAAATCGACCTTTTCAAAGAGCCCATCTTTCTCTGTTCCATTCTTGCTATCAATATTAGTATTCCCCGTTGTCTTATCAGCATGCCTCATACCTTGAATATTACAGGATGACCGTCCACTTGACATGGCTGAACAAACAAAACTGTCATAAATGAGAGGCTGCAAATCATGAGAAGGCGGTTCAGAAGAAACATGATTGAAAAATCCATATTCTGCAGCAGTCCATGATGCCTTCTCTTCACATTCCCCATGCAAATCTGTAACTGTTATTGGATCTGAATCTAGCTTATTTCGGAGCCCTCTCGGAGCTGCAATGATTTTTGCAGTTTGCAATGCCTCAAAAGCTGCATCTTGAACACAAGGGAACTGATCATATTGGCACTTTTCCATGAATTCAATGATGCTTTCAATCTCGGAGAAGAAGCTTCTTGCATCAACACACTTCATTAAGAAATCAATCATTCGAATTACTGAAAGACATTTTTGAGAAGTATTATCTTCAAAACGGCTGGACAGAATCTTGAAGCCGGACCTTATGATAGACCTTACATAAGCCTCAAGTACCCAAGCGTTATGCTTTGCCAGGGCCATCACTAAACCAATGTGGGAGTTTGTTTGAGTTGGAACCTTCTCAAGCGCCCCAGTTACTTTTAAACAGACTTCATTCACAATTTCATTAGATGCAAATCGCCAAACATCCAAATTAACAAGACCATTCAAGCATACAGCAGCACCTGAGGAAGTATTTCCTTCAAAACTCATCAATGCATCAGAGAGGGGCTTGCAAAGGGACTGAATTATCTGCATATTCTCTCTATCTGGAGCCCAAGGATCAATCCCATAAAGTGCCATTGCAGAAACCACTTTAGAGCAAGATTCGAATGATTCCACACATGAAGACAAGGTCCTCAATATAACAGACATAATTTTTCCAATGTTTGGGGTGATTTTTTGACCATGCAATCTTGCGAGCATTTCAAACACCAATATGGCATTATCTTCACATGAATCACTAACATCAATTGCTTCGGAGACTGTAGCAATAAAGCCAGGTATCATCTGAGGATCCAGGTCTTTGGCATAAGCTTCCAGGTTCTTCAAGGAAACTCTGTGGTTGTCTGGGTCTCCATCAAGCATTTGCAACTCTCTTTGGAGTACTGGAATCAGGCTGGCACTCATGCTTACTAGTTTAAAGAGAGAAGAAGTTAAACATATAGAATTTATGTGGGTAAATTTGTGATACGCCCTGGAGACAAAAAAATCAAACACGCGATGGAAATACTGCAGAAATATGAATATAGGTGGCTTATTTTTTACTATAACTTCAATAAGAAAGCAAGATACATGTGATATACAATTTGAGAGGTAGATCGGCTCTCCCAAACCACCTAGACGCTGCTAACTCACAAAAAGAAAACTACAGCAACTCTCTAATCAAATTATGAATAAAACAAAACAAACCATAAACTTAGCCTGAAATAAGCTCATCCTACTTCCCTTCGAAATCAACCTCCCTTTCCTAATATATTTACATCTCCAATTTGAATTTCAATTAGGAAATCCTTCATAATTAATCTCTTCCTAAATCAACCCCCATTTCCTAATATATTTTTCTCTCCAATTTAAATTTCAATTAGAAAATCCTTCCTAATTAATCCCTTAATTCCTCTTCTCACATAATGAATTAATGTTTTACTAGGTCCCATAGAAGGAGCTGAAATCTGTCCAGGTTCAAGCCCCCCTTGGTTCGTCCCTCCCTGGTTCGGGATTTACTGGACCTCCCTGACTACAAACCCACTTTCAAGATTAATTATTAATACATCGCTCAAAAACCACTTGCTTAAGCGCAAATCTCAAGGCAATACTCAAATGGGAAATTTTTTAAATTATATTCAGGACCAATGTTGTAAATACTGCACCAAACAATAAACCGAAAGGAGAGCTTCATAGTTTGATTGTTCAATAGTGTCAAATCGAGGTCAAAATGGATGATGTAATAAATACTAATTTTATTTAATTATAGCATAATTTACATAGTAATGATGCAATCATATAAAAAATATGACCGAAAATTAAACAAAATAAATAATCATGACATATGAATTAATACATTTTTTTAATTGAAGATATAAAGTATTAAGTAACTACCTGTTCTTCATAAATTCACATTTATTTTTTGACGACCAATTACTCTTTCTCTAGTAGGTGAAACTGTTAAAAATGAAATGAAAAAAAAAATTAATTAAATGATATGTAATGCAAGTAACATAAGATGAAATATAATAATCAAACTACAAGTACACTATAAAAATTTTTAATACATGAAATCACAAATCCATAATATCGAGAAAAAAAAAGTAATAATTCACATTCAATTGTTCAGATCATTTTACAAAAAATAGATAAACTCAAAACAGTCCTGGTGAATCTAATAATCATCCCCTAAATTTATTTGATCAAATGATGGATCCATAAATATTTCTTCGCCAAAATCTTCCACCTAAAATACTTCAACATCCTCACATGCAATTATGTCATTTTCATCACCCGTATTAGCTAGGACATCTTCATATGCAAATCATTAGTATAAAATAATAAGTTTGTATTTCATATTGCACCCAATTGATATAAATAAATCTACAATCTTACTTGGATATAGTGCAGTTGATGTTATGTTCAATTCTCACTACAAGTATTGTAACATCTTTATAAATTTCCGTCTTTAAATTTTCTAAGTCAAGTTTTGGAGTTGACTCGTCATCAAGTATTCAAAAGTCAAGAAGTTAAATATTTTGTAGTCCAAATGATCATAACTTTTTTTTAAAGCTGGAATTTATATAATTAATATGATAGATATAATATGCATCATAATTTAAAAGATGTTTAAATGTAGTTGTAGATAATAATGAAAAGATGTCGTCTTTAATGCTCAAGATGATTTCGTCTTTTAGTATTAATTTGAAGTTCCTCTCACAGCCGGATGAAGATGATGTTTGACTGAGAAGCCTAACAATCAATTCCTATAGATTTGGAGCATTAGAGCTGAACATCTTTCATCATTCATCTACAAATCAATAAATATTAGTCTATTCAAATGCATTTGATGTAAACAAAAGCATCATAGCTCAAGTAAATGTTAAAATGCATTCTTAAGTTTATGTTATCTTATTAGTTTGCATTTTATTTGATATTATTATGACATTTGACTTTTCAAAACTTTTCAAGTTATCCCGAAAAAGCCTCACTTCATTCATTGTCAAAGATGGTTTAAGACATATGTATTTATTGTCAATCAATTCAACTAAACTTGGTATAAATTCAAGTTTGTTGCAGTAATTTTCTCAGTCATACTAAAAATAAGTGATGACGAAATAAGTTGTTGAATGTATCCCCTTTCTTAGTTGATTATCTCATCTTCTCTTTATGATATGAGTATAGATCTTGTAAATTGTTTTTAGATTTTTTAGCATGCATTTTATAACTTTTCTAGTTTTATACATGTCATTATAAAGGTATCCAACATAAGACTTTTCATCTGCATCAATAATTTATAACAACCTGATCGAGTCCCGTTTCTAGAGAGAGAAAATTCCATTTTCAAACTTTCAAATCCCAGTTTTATTCCACTATTCCAACATATTGTTAGGGGATGGCGACAGATGGCCGCCAGCCATCGGTGTCTTCATCGGCGAAGACGCAACCTAATGGTGCAATTAATATTCAGAATAGAGGTGGTATTGTTCGTTTGGGTGCGAGAATAAACCCTGAAGCTAATGACGCCAGAAGAAGTTGTCGAGAGGTTCGTTGGTAATAAAGGATAATGTTGGTGATGTTTCTAAGAAAATTACTCATGTTACTGGTAAAGGTAAGGTTATTTCTGAGGATTTTGAATGCAAAACTCCATGACATTTGAAGGTTCTTGCTAAGTCGCTGCTGAAATCAATCGAAGGTGGAGCTTCCTCGTTGGGAATGAAAATTTTTGTTAACAGAATTGGGAATTCAAATGCAATCCCAGATAACAGTGTGATAAATTCGAATTCACTAAATTCGGTTAGCAAAATTGTTCATGAGAAAGTTGACGACTGTGTAAAAGATGTCGAGGATGATTCTGCTTCGTTGAAGGTAAATAATGAAATGCCTAATGGCTCTGGAAAGGAGGTCGGTGGAATGAATCCTTGGTACAAGAGGCCTTACATTAAGCTAAATTTTAAAGAGGATATTGTATTGACAGAGGATGGTAAAGCAGTGAAATTGAAGGAGCCTAATGAAATTTTGAATTCAAGCAAGTTGGTGAACTCTTTGGTAGCCAAGGTGTTTGGGAGAGAGATTCCCTCTCATATTGTCGCTTGGGAATTGAGACGTCAATGAATCCAATTTGGTCAGTTTCATTTTACTCCACTTGGAAGGGGTTGGTTCTTGTGTTCATTCAAAACAGCCGAAGCTTTAGAGTCTATTCTGACAGGTGGCCCGTGATATGTAAATGGACACATTATTAGAATGGATAAATGGTCTCCTGAGTTTTCTCCTTTGTCTATGAAGGGTCTTACTTCTCCTATATGGATTAGAATGCCTCAATTGCCTTTGCAATGCTGGGATGAGGAAAATGTGGCAAGAATTGCTTCTATGGTTGGAAAACCATTAATGTTGGATGGAAACATGTTCCAATGGGGGAGAAGAGAGTTTACAAGAGTTTGTGTTCGTGTGAAGCTGGACCAACGTCTTCCCTTGGGAGTTTGGGTGTAGAGTATTTCTGTAAGGTTTTTTCAAAAGGTGGAGTATGAAAATATTTCCACATTTTGTTTTGCATGTGGAATCATTGGGCGTGTATATAGTGATTGTAAGAAAGGGGTGTTCGATTGTGAATGAATCGGTTGAAGATGTTAGCAGAAAAGGGCAAAATAATTCTGAGGTGTTGAGGCAAGAAGCAGATAAGGATTCAACCTATAGACCAGGAGGTTCATGTCAATCAAATGCCAAGCCTTGAAAGTTGAGGTATTTTAAGAAAAGCTAATTGAAGCCAATGAATGTGGAACCAGAAATTGCTCTCGGGTTGGATTCTGAGAGGCTGGATTCATCTGAGAACGTGGATTTGGAAAAGGATATGGTAAATATGGTGGCAGCAAAAGAAGGTGAAATTATCGTGGAGCATGATTTGGGTAATAAAGTTATGGAAGCTGGTGGATCCATGGAGCATGGCAACCCGATGGAATAGGTGTTAGAAATTCCTGATGGTGAGAAGGGTATGGATTCTACACATGTTTCTTCTTTTATTTCTGTGGCTGTGAATAAGTTTCATGTTTTGAATAATAGTGGGGAGGAGATGTTGGAGTTTGATGAAACTTCAATGGCCTAGGAGTGATAATAAGGGTAATCTGTCTTTCAAGAAGGATGATATTTTGGGGAATAATGATACTTGTGGTGAGAGGAGCAGTGAAGATTTTGAGGGTGTTAATGTAGCAAAGGAGGTTGGTGGTAATTGTGAGACGGCTAAGTTTAAGCTTGCAAAAGAGCTTAAATCTCTGGGACTGGATAAAATTCTTACTCTTATTAGGAATGCTGAGGTTGTTCTTAAAAGAAGGGACGGGGGCTCATCCCAATGGTGTTCAATGAGTTCGATTGCTTTTTGGAACTATAGAGGGGCTAAGAAGAGAGAGGCCTCTCTTTATCTAAAGGAATTAGTAAAAGAATTTAATATTTTGTTTGTGGGATGGGTGGAGACTAAAATTTCTTTCTTTGATAAAGTGGTCTTTAAGAAAGTGATGGGGTCTGACTGGGATTATTTTCTGCTTCCGTCAGAAGGTTTATCAGGTGGTATTATGGTGATGTGGAGATCTGATTTGGCTTTCTTTTCTATGTTAAAGACTTCAGATAAATGTGTAATTGGAGATCTTAATGTTTTTAATAAGGGAGTGGATGATTTCTACAATTTATGGAGGATGTTCATAAGAGGAGGAACTAATGGGATTGTCTGCGAGTGTTGTCTCATAAGAAGGTCCCTCCTGTTATAGGTGGAGACTTAAACTTCATTTTGTCTCAGGATTATAAGAGGGGTGGAAGGAAGTTTGTTTTTTCTCAAGGCCCTAAGGAGATGATGAATTTTATGAATGATAATGATTTTTATGAGGTGGGGCTGGTTGGACCAAGATTCACTTGGTGTAACAATAAAAATGGAGGAG